CCTCTGATATACAGGCAGGGAATGGGCTTTTCGATGGGAGCATCGTTGTGTCTCTTCGCTCCACCGTACGTGGCTGCCGGGATCACCATGATGGCGACATCGTGGATTGGGGATAAGTATCGGCTGCGAGGGCCGATTATTGTTTTCAATGCCATGTTGGCGTTGATCGGGCTGCCTTTGATGGTCAGTTGCTCCTCATACCAATGTAATGGTAAAACACGGCTGACAAGACTAGACCTTTACCAAGGGCAACGGGCCACGACTGGTCGGGTGCTTCCTCACTACCATGGGAGCCAACTCGAATGTTCCTGCTGCTATGGCATACCAGGTAGGATCCTCCATCCATCTGACCGTAGTATTAGTGCTGATTGACAGTAGGCAAACAATGTCCGCGGACAGTGGAAGCGAGCGGCTTGCAGCGCCATCTTTGTCGGTCTCGGTGCGTCGGGCGGCATGGTTGGGTCTCTGGTCTTTCGGTCTCAGGATGCCCCGGAGTATCGGCCGGGAATGCTTACCTGTATTGGGTTGCAGGCTGCTGCGATAGTGTTGGTGGGGCTGTTGACCATTCGATTGTATCTGCGCAATCGTCGCGTGGATCGGGGAGAGTTTGTTATCGGGGATCTGCCGGGGTTTCGGTATACTTATTAGCTTATTAACCGAGAGCGCTGTTTGGCTTAATTCATGTTCTGGTCTTCAGTGCATGAACTCGTTGATACTATGCTCGACGATGATATTATACATGAGATGATGGCGATGTAATCGTTCTAAACAAGTGTACAATGATCTAATGCAATGCATGTATGCTTAGCCATCCAAATATGCATTCAAATATCCCTTCAATGTCCGCTTCATCCATAATCCAGGTCTAAACCCCTGCGTCCATCCCCGTCCTGAATGGTTCGCTTCGCGTACCTTCCAGAATAATGAGCCCTGGAATAATCATTAGCCACGTTTCTCACTTCAGCCTAGGGAAAGATAGACATACATCATATACACCCCGCACATCTTCCTTCCAGACCTTGCCGTCTTTCTCAATTAGCAACCATGTGGTACCCCATTCGAACAACGCAGCCCCCCACTAGACTCCGTGTCAGTTACATCTATATTTTGCGCGAAGGGAACGGAGAAGAGTGAACATACACCAAATGGATCAGCCGCACATCTATTCCCGTGCATCATATCAAAAAGCTCCCGCAATGTCAACGCCCCATCACCATCGCGATCATACTTAGCGAACATATTCTCGAATGATTGGGGAACGAAGCGCCCTTCCGGATCATAGGTATTACTATCGGAGCCGTGCTAATCATTCGTCCATTAGCCATCTCCCCTTAGTGAAGGCGTAAATCTACCATTGGGGAAGGTATGTACCTTGGCTTTGTGAACCGCATCCACATATACCCTAAACCACGGATCCGGGAGGAACGAATGCGCCAGACGAGTTGGATAAGAGAAATTCAGGTTGATAATCAGAACAGCTAGGAAGGAAAAGAGCATATTGAATCCTAGATCGCGGAAGCCGTTATATGTATCCCAGGGGTAGATTTGCCCGTCGCGGTCGCGGTCCCAGAAGAGGACATGTTGTTGGAGAGGGGTCTTCATCGATTATCTGGTTAGTGGCATGTTCAATTGATTAGATAGGGTGCTTATTGAGGCGAGGACGCACAAAATCGCCAAACTGCTTAGTATAGCTCTCATCCCCGTCCGGCCGATCAATTGAGGCGGTGGTGTTGGCCCGCGGCACACCCGGCTTCTCAATGTATTCGTTCGTATAGCGAGCTGGTTGGCGGGCCGCAGTGACGGGGCATTCGGGGACAGTTGTGGAAAAGTCGACGCTGATCGAGGGCGGGCGGATAGGTTTGTCGAAATTGGGTAGTTGAGTTTCGGAGAATGATACTTTGCGAGGCATTTTGGTGGTTATGGAAAATTTTCAATTGAGTCAATAATGGATCGCAGGAGGTAAAATGTAAATAAAACAGGAAGTAGAAGAGTCAGTTGTTGGTAATGGGAGATGGCTGATTAGAGTATCAGAGATTCGTTCGTTAGGGTTGATGGCGTCATTGGTGCGGGAGTCATGGTGAGGTCATAGTCAGTGCTATTGATAGTACATCACTTGGATAGTCACCAATTCATCACTTAATCAGCGGGGGTTTATCGCCACTGAGAATGCCATGATTACTGCTTATCAGTAGCGACATGAAACACTCCAATTGAAAGAATGTGGGGTGAATGGCTGGCAAGTTATCCGCTGAGATGGTGGGGATATATTTTCCGCTACTAAGTATCTTATGCTAAAAGACCACCATGACTGGGTGGCTGAGGTATGCGCTCAGCGGCTACCACTATGTCGCAGGTCAAGTGACAAGAGTTCTTTGAGACGTCTAATCTACATGCAATACCCTCTAGTTGGGTCAGAGGTTATACTGTGTAACCTAAAATATGGGACACGCAGGCCTACTTGGGTCTAACAGTCTGCCCCACACATATAATGGTCTTTTACAGTATCTCCACGCCCCGCATGCTACATTGACGCAGCGTGGTCTAGGCTATGTTTCCACCACCGTTCTCTGGGAAATTGTCTCTAAACCCGGTTTCAGGCAAATTCGAGGTCCTTGGCTCCATTGTCTCGATCCCAGAACGAACTTTATCTAGCTTTTGCACAACTCAATTCTTGGGTCTGTCGTTATGTCATCATGATGCCCCCGGGGTATATCGTGAACATAAACCCGCATTGGACCACCCAACCTGCCTGTGATAGTGAAGGGTTGGTCTTGCTCTGCACGACCTTGCCATGTTGTATAAACTGAGCTTCCGCGGCTTTGCTTGCCATCCTGCTAGTAAGCTTACTTCGTTCAAACGGGTTAATTGCCAACTTCTGTATACTCTCTCTTCATACTCAACTTCTGCTCCCCCTCCCAAATCACGCAAACTAGCCACCATGTCCAGTCCCACCCATTGGATGAACACCTCCGGCGAGACGGACCCCGTCTGGGTTCACTCTATGCCGTACTCCAAATATCCCAAGTTCCCATCATTGAATGAGAACGTCGAAACCGAAGTCTGCATTGTCGGCTCAGGTATTGCCGGTATCTCCATTGCCTATGAGCTGGTCAATCGTGGAAAGCGAGTGACCATGATCGAGGCCCGCAATGTCCTGTCTGGCGAAAGTGGCCGTACCAGTGGCCATTTGTCTAATGCCTTAGACGATGGATACACCGAGATCGAGAAGAAGCATGGACACCAGGGTGCGAAAGCCGCCGCTGAGAGCCATACCTGGGCGCTCAAGCGAGTCGGAGAGATTTCCCGATCACTCGGAATTGAGTGCGAGTACCGCACGCTTCCAGGCTATGAAATCTCCCAGTACCCCCGTGGTGACCCAAACCATGATAAAGAGGTCTCCAGCCTGAAGAAGGAAGTTGAGCTGGCGAAGCAGCTTGGTCTTCCTGCCTCCTACCGCGATGGCCTCACCGTGAAGGGGTGGGATGGCAGCGTCGACCAGCGGGACGGTGCCATTTTTGCAGATCAGGCGACATTTCACCCGACCAAGTACTTTGTCGGCGTACTTGAGTGGCTGCAGAAGCAGCCAAACTTTCAATGCTTTGCGCACACTCGCATGATGTCGTCCAGCGAGAGTGGCCTGGTGCAAGTGACAACCACAGACGGGTACACTATCACGGCCAAGGATATGGTCGAGGCGACTTGTGTGCCTCTTCAGAAACTGAGCGTCATTGCAGAGATGGAGTACATGCGCACCTACTGCATTGCCATTCGTGTTCCGAAGGGCTCGATCGAAGACTGCCTTCTCTATGACGAGGCGGAAGCGTACAAGTACATCCGTTTCACTGAATGTGATGAGAAGGATGACTACCTAGTGGTCGGAGGATGCGATCATAAGGTCGGCCAGGATACGACCAGTGGCCGTTTTGAGGAACTGGAGACTTGGGTCCGCGAACGCTTCACCAAGGCCGGGACAGTCGACTACAAGTGGAGTGGACAGATCTTCGAGCCTGTGGATTACATGGCATTCATTGGAAAGAACCAGGGCTTAAATCATACATACATTGTCACAGGAGACAGCGGCAATGGTCTCACACACGGCGTGCTTGCTGGTAGACTCATCGCGGACGAGATTATGGGCATTGACAATCCATGGGCCAGCCTATACAACCCCCATCGGCTGTCCAGCATCGCCAAGTCCCTGCCCAGTATGCTGGCGCATGATGTTCAAATCAATACCCAGTACAAACGCTGGATGAAGTCCGACATCAAGGACATCGAGGATCTTGCCGTCGGCTCCGGAGGCGTGATCAAGGAGGGTCTGACGAATCCCGTAGCCGTGTACAAAGATGAGCAAGGCAAGGCGCATAAGTTCAGCGCTGTCTGTCCACACATGAAGGCAGTATTGAACTGGAACGACACCGAGAAGAGCTGGGACTGCCCTGTGCATGGTAGTCGCTTCAGCTGCGATGGCGTTTGTGTGGAGGGACCGTCCAAAGCGAACTTGAAGCCCATGGATTCGTTCGCTCAGAAAGAGCAGCGGGCGCAGCAAGCCATTTAGGCAGCTGGATTGTTATCTATAGTTTTATATGGGTATTTAGTGTGTAGCACACGGAATATAAAAAGTTCTAAGACGGAATCACTCCGGATCGAAATGAAAAGTTAGAAAAGTAGAGATTAAAACGTTCTGATCCACTGGAGATCTCCCGGGGATTGCCTGTTTCGGGCATGGATGCGAGTACGAAATGCGTTTTACCCGAAACGGCATACGCAACGAAAACGAGGAGGACCACGTAGGGCAGAGGTTGATTCCCCAGCCACGGGTCTTCAATCTGAGGTTCAGGGACAGATGCACTATGGTCTCTCGTATATCGCGACCGTTGCCATATTGGTACCTTGCAAAACTGGGAGGCAACGATGATAGGCCTTCATAAAAGCAGGGCCTCGCTCCCTACCTCCTTGCGACTTTATCGATCCCAGCTCTTCTCTATCGCATACCAGCCATGGAATTCGTTCTTTACTACTACACCCCCTCTGCTGCGGCAGCAGGCATCTTTGTTGTTCTGTTCGGCATCAGCACTGTCTTGCACTTTCTCCAGCTGGTCCGGACCAGAACATGGTTCATGATACCCTTCTTTATCGGCGGAATCTGTCAGTCACTACTCTCAACGATAACTGCAGGACTATCACTGACCTGAAGCAAAATATCCAGTGGAAACAATCGGATATGTTGGTCGTCTGCTCTCTTCGCTCGAAAGCCCCGACTACAGCACAGGCTCGTATGCCATGCAAAGCGCCCTTATCCTCATCGCCCCGGCCTTCCTGGCGGCTAGTATTTATATGACTCTCGGTCGCATTATCCGGATGGTCCAAGCAGAACACTATTCGGTGTTCAGATTGAAGTGGGTGACGAAGATCTTTGTTGCGGGTGATGTTCTTTCCTTCCTGATGCAAGCGTCTGGTGCGTTCTTCCCTAGCTTCTCGTCTTCTGATGCAGCATCGCTAATAGCAGTAGGCGCTGGTCTTATGGTCAGTAGTTCCAGCGACCCAACCACGGGCGAGCACATCATCATCGGCGGTCTCTTTGTTCAACTTATCTTCTTCGGTTTCTTTATCATCACAGCGCTCATCTTCCAAATGCGCCTGGCAAAGGCTCCTACTACCACCTCAACGGAACTGTCGCACATCTGGCGTCGCCACATGAACGCCCTCTACATCTCCAGCATCCTCATCTTTGTCCGTTCCATTGTCCGTGTGGTAGAATACCTCCAAGGATACGACGGCTACCTTATGAAACACGAGGTTTTCATCTATGTGTTCGATGCGCTGCTGATGTTCCTGGCAATGGAGGTACTCCAATTCATCCACCCTAGCCAGGTCAACTGCTATCTGGGGCGCGGAGACCGTTACTCCGACAAGGTGATCAAGACGCAAAAATTCATGTCGGTGCCGGTGGAGATGGAGGTTTCATCCGTTTGATGGCTTGCAATATTTCTCGGGCGATGTATTTTATGATTCTTATGATTATCGGCGTCAACTGTCTCATCTAAATTGTGTTTGTCAGTCTGTTCACACTAGATGTTGTGTTTCTAAAGATTATGCCTATCCCTTACATCATCGCAAAGAGGTCACAGGTTATCCATTCAATCATGGGATCAGGGCTGGCAGTGTTAATCCAAGACGAGGATGTAATATCTATCTTTAGCATCACCATACCGTCGTGTGCTGTTGCCTGCACATGAAGCACTAGTATGGACTTGATGCGCGTTTGACCCCGTTCCGCAAAGGGGCAAGATAGGATCCCGACGGCCCCAAGTTTTGGCCCCATCGGGAGACCATGCAGGACAACCGCATTGTTCCGAGTCAGGGGCAGCTTTTAGGATCACAAGCTTTCTTACCAGCTCTATTCGGTCCGAGACTTTGTCATTTGGGGGAGTCCGCAGAAGTCCTTATGGTACTTGGGGACACAGGAATTCTCTCAACACCAGTTGACATGGTAATGTGCGTCTGATAGTGTAGCCCAGTAGGGCCATATTCATGACAACAGCTAATGTGAAATATCCTGTACCCAATTGCCCAATATATGGATCATGTAGAAAATCTCCATTTATTAACGACAACAACGGGATTTCTATCTAGCGGTGGGGCCAGTATGTCTATTGAACTCTCGTCTTGTCCAACGTCCGCTTCCTGAGAACCTACTAATAACGGATACCACTCCCGAATTCACATTCCCTGAGGCACGATGATGTAGACATTATTCACCTTCCTCTTTAGGAAAATCCTCTGAAGCAAGCAGAGAGGTATGTCAACCGTTGTGAAGTAGGATCATGCGGCCCCTGGCAATCCCGCCCCAGAATGGCCGGTAAGCAGCCGTCAATATCAGGACATCTATCGTCCTTGAACTTACAAGGAGGGTATCTCCATCGGATCAGTAGAATTTTGTCAGACCCTGACAGGAAACCCCACAGCCGAGCCATTTCTAAGAATAGACCTTGATGGGGTCGCCGAATTGAGATCAAGCTCAAGTGCCCTCGCTAAATGAGGATGTCGGGGTCCATATTGAATCCGATCTGCCCGCTAGAGACCCAGGGCTTTTGGACCCCACACTACTTCCAGAACGCTTTGAAGAATGATTTGGGGCCACCACAGAAGGTGTCGCATCTTTGTTATTGCTGTGAGAGCGGTGTATCTGCGCAAAAGCCAGAAAACGCTGTATGGTTGAGTATGAGGAGAGCTTGGAAGTGATCAAATATAGCTCGGTAATCCCCATGTCAGTCGGAACGCGAGGCAAGAACTATCACATATGCTGCAGATATCCAGGTTTGGGGTGCAAGCGATAAGCACTAGAATATGTCGATCGGTCAACCGCTTCAGTCTACGTCCAAAAACGGTTGGGCATCTCGTGTTTTCGCTAATAGAAGGATTTTGCATGTAGCAGATTGAAACATAGCATCTTTACCCCAGTGTAGGCGATCGCTTCAATCAAACCTCAGTGTTTACAGGAGACTGGGTCTAGGACATTATTCATCGTAACTTCCCTAGCCAGACCGTGAAGCATATAAACGCGGTTTTCCCACTGCAAAGTTCCTCATGTCCTTTGACAACACAGTATTCTTATTTCTCTTTGTTCTAGATATTCTTCTTTTCTCATCACACAATGAGCTTCAAGGTTCTTAAACTTCTTGCTGTCGCCGGCCTTCTTTCGGCATCCGTGGCGTATTCGACTGAGTCTGATGTGGAAATTACCTTTTACGGGTATCCTGACAACGATCCTCCCAGTGCGGACATTGCCTATGATTGCGGTCGTGGTTACACGGCAGGAGGTACGTTCTCGGAGTTCTTCGGGCTGAGTATGTCAAAGCTAACAGCTGCTAGGCACCGGCACGTATGACGATCCTCTCACCTTTGCCACCGCTCCTGGGGAGTTTGAAAAGTGTGAGATCATCTATCTGCCGTACCTTCGCAAGTACCTCCGCTTCGAGGATACATGCGCGCAGTGCAGTAAGTACCCTCACGCTTAGTACTGTGCCTCCGCTGACAGAAACAGCTACCGATTATGACAATGGCAAGCTCCATATCGATATTTGGACTGGCTCCACTACTTCCAGTGGTGGTGATACCCAGATTGACTGTGAAGATTCTTTGACGCCCGATGATTCTCAAACCGTCATCATCAACCCAGGAACCTCCTACACCGTCAACTGTATGTTAAAGACCCCAGGTAGTACTTACCAGATATGACCTAACGGCCCAACCAAGCGGACGAGCTGTTTGCGAGCGGCAAATGCTATACATCGAACACTTATAGCAGTGCCGACGCTTCGAGCTACTGCAGTTCCGGTTCTTCGGGTTCGAGCTCCAGCTCTGGCTCCGGGTCCAGCTCCTCCTCATCTTCCTGCTCCTGGTCAGGCCATTGTGCTGGTAGGGCCCCTCTCCGGACCGTGCCTCGTGTTACACTGACCCATGGCATTCAGGTGCTTCCTGCTCAACCGAGAACGACTGCTCCGACAACCTCACCTGCCAGAGTGGTAAGTGCGCCTGATCACAGTTCTACTGCCGCGGTAGCTGGAGCGACTTTGTTGGACCAGGAGGTGTGACACGGGACACGTCGTTGCTCTTTGTACGATCATGTGATACAATCTGCTCGTGTCCTTCTTTACCTCAGACCATCAAAACCCTGGCGAGTTACCCTAACAGGATAAGTATTACATAAGGCGCGGACTCGCTGCCACTGGCCATAACAAGGAGAATCTTTTCTACTACACCATGTATAGTCCAGCTATCTGTCTCATCGTTATATCATTAGTTGACCAATCTTTTATCCCGACGGGCATTTTCGGTATTTTGGTAAATATGCCTATTACATGCCGATGGCACACTTTACTTCATCTATCCCCATCTCTCTCGTCACGGCAATGTCTGTCGCGCCTGGGTATATGCATCTTACGGATGAATTGTAAATTGGTCCATGTTGCGGGACGTCTTGCCGCGAAACGTCTGAGCTTCCTGGTGCTCAAGCTTTCTCGAAATGGCGGGCCTGACAAATCACAATGGAAGTATTGTGGTTACTACCATGATAGGCATGTATCACAGGTGGTCGTCACATCCCATGACTGTTGTTATTGGTCCTGTCGATCACCGGGTACCACCTGCTATTTCTCAGAGTAACAGCAGAAGCGGCAAGATCCAGGCATACTTGCATCGTCGTAATGGCAGACGACTGCAGGCAGGACTTCTGTCCTTCTTTCGGCATTACTTTGCCACATTGCTATCGCCGCCGACCTCGCTCACCCACCTAGTCGGCGGGTATAGATAGGTCGCTCTGACCACCAACAGCACACAGGCCTGATACGTATCGCGTCAATTGTGCACTTCACAATCATGCTCTGTCCATTCGCTAAAACTCCCATACTTCTGTTTGTTTTTGCAACATTGTTCAGCATCGGTCGCACTATCAATTCGTCCTCACGCAGTGAATGCGAGGTTATTCGCCGAGATGTTTGTATTATCGGTGGCGGCGCTGCGGGCACTTATGCCGCGATAAACCTACTTCAAGAGGGTTACTCAGTCGTTGTGGTTGAGAAGACTGGCCGTTTGGGTGGCCATACTATCACGTACATCGAGCCGAGCACGGACACGCCGCTTGACTTCGGAGTGACTCTGTTTGAAGATTCGCCGGAGACCATAGAATTTTTCTCCCATCTTGCAGTACCTTTTGCTAAGGCTTCAAATGGCGGCAGATACATGGAACGCATTGACTTTGAAACTGGCGAAGTGCTGGAGCCCTACCCCGGTAATGTCAGCGAGGCTTTGGAACGCTACGGAGATATTCTCCGTCAATATCCCTATCTTTTGGAGGGATGGGACCTCCCAGAGGACATACCCGAGGATCTCCTGATGCCTTTCGGAGAATTCGTCGAACAATACGACCTGGGGGCTGCCGTCGAGCTGATCAGTATCTACAGCCAGGGGGTGCGCAACTGGCTTAACTACCCGACCGTTTATCTGATGAAGTTCGTGTCGTTGGATATGTTAAGAGCGCTTCAGACGGGATTTCTATCAACTGCTCGACATCATAATTCGGAGCTTTACGAGGCTGCTCTGGAGGAACTGGGAGATGATGCTCTGCTTCATAGCGTTGTAGTGAACGCGTGTCGGGAGGATGACGAAATGCATCGACTGACGGTGGAATCGACGGATGGTACACATTGGATGATTGAGGCCAATACGACTATCCTCGCTGCACCCCCGACTGGGCATGTGCTGGATGGCTTAGATCTCGATGATTTCGAATCTTCTCTGTTCAGTCAATTTATTTACGGACACTACTATGCCGGCCTGGTGCGGGTAGATGGATGTCCCGAGGGAGTCCAGATTGTGAATCGTGGGTCCGACAGACCTTACTCACTTCCCCTGCTTCCGTGCATCTTGATGATGTATCCGACCGCGGTGCCAGGTGTGATGGCCGTTGGATACGGTAGCGAGGAGCCAATGACGGAGGAACAAGTCAAGGGGGCGATTGTGGAGGACATTCTAGGACTGCGCCGAGCTGGATACGAAGTCGACGACCCGGAGTTCCTGGCGTTTGCCGACCATTCCCCATTCGAAATGTCAGTTGGGCGGAAGGCCATCGAGGACGGATTCTACCATGACCTGAAGAAGCTGCAGGGACACCGCAATACGTACTATATCGGGGCGACTTTCGAATATCCAGGGTCCTCAGCCATTTGGCGGGCGGTGGATCGACTGCTTCCATCGGTTGTTGAGAGTATTGGGAGGTCAGAGAAACTAAAGGTGTAGAGGCGTTGCAGAAAGGAAAAACATAATGTCACGAAGCATTGGGCAGATTGTAACTACAAAGAGTCCTGCTGGCAATTCAAAATCCTGCAGATTATTGGTGGATAGCGTATCGCAGCGGCGATCCCTTGCTATTAGGGTACGCGTTGCCGATTGGTGGTTTGCACCAGATATCGGAAGGGATCCGGCGGGGGAAAAGATATGGCACTTGTCTTCAAAGCTCTAAATATCATTCTTGATCGTCCCTATTAGAATCTCGACCCGTGTAGGCCTAATATCCTTTGCTAATCCCTCAACTTTGCGACTTCTAGTGATGGACACGGTCGCACCCGCTGCAGAGGCGCACGACGCGCCCGAAGAGTCGCCGGTGATCGCTTCCCGCGTGTTACGCAAGGTGGACAGTCGTTTGTTGCCTCTTCTCTTCATTACATATTTGCTTAACTTTATGGATAAAACTATCCTGTCGAGTGCATCTGTATTTGGGTTGATTGAAGATACTGTGCGTACCTCTTTATGCACCGGTTTGAAATTTGTTAACTCATATCCACCAGCATTTGGTCGGCCAGCAGTACAGCTGGGTATCCAGCATCTTCTACTTTGGATACTTCTTCTGGGAATGGGTGCGACCGTAATCTATCTCGATTTCTTCATGAGATAACTGACTCCCCTTCAGCCCACCAACGTCTTGATCCCTCGGGTGCCCGTCGCCAAATATCTGTCCATCAACACTTGGTTCTGGGGCGCCGTGGTAGCCCTGACGGCCGCCTGTACCAACTACGGCGGTCTGTTAACCGTGCGATTCCTTCTCGGGGTTGCAGAGGCCACCATCACACCGGCCTTCATGTTCCTCACCTCGACGTGGTACACCCGCGATGAGATCCCCTTCCGCACGGGCATCTGGTTTTCGGGCAACTCGGTCGGCGGACTCGTCGCCAGTCTGCTTGCCTATGGCATCGGCCACATTGACCATCCCCTGCATCCCTGGATGTGGATGTTCATCATTCTCGGCGTGGCCACCTTTCTCTGGGGTTTCGTGCTCTTCGCCTTCCTCCCGGATAGTATCTCCACAGCCACATTCCTCACTCCCGAGGAACGTGAATTCATGGCTCACCGTGCCGTGATTGCGGGTACCGGTCGGACAGAGAAGACAACATGGAAATGGGCGCAATTCATCGAATGCCTTTGCGATCCCAAGACGTGGCACCTGTTCGCCCTGGCAGTGCTAACCCAGATTCCCAACGGCGGAACACAGAACTTTGGCAACCTCGTCATCAAATCGTTCGGCTTCACCTCTCTTCAGTCGACGCTGATTGTCATCCCTGCCAGTGTAATCAGTGCCGGCACCATTGCCCTCACCGGCTGGCTAGCCAGTCGGTCCCATCATTGGAATTGTCTGCTGATTGTGTGTATTGTCGCACTGTCCATCACCGGCAGTGCCATCATCTATGCTCGTGCTCACCATGTGCCCCTCGGCGCCCAGCTCTTCGGTTACTTTCTGCTGTCCACGGGTCCCGGTGCCCTTCCACTCATCATGTCCCTCCTGCAGGCGAACTACCGTGGTGTCACCAAGAAAATGACCATCACCTCCATGATGTTCATCGCCTACTGCGCGGGAAATATTGCCGGGCCGCAGTTCTTCAAGTCGAGCGAGGCCCCGCTCTATCAGACTTCGTTCCGCGCCATCCTTATCTGCTATATTATTTCCGCGGCGTTGGCAGTGTCGCTGCGATGTTATCTGCAGTGGTTTAATCAGAAGCGCGATCGTGAGGAGGGAGTCCAGGGGACGGCGACTTTGGCTGGGGCTGTAGGGGGCAAAGTTGCCAATCAGCGACAGGATGGGAACGATGTGTCGGTGTTGGTGCAGTCTGTTGAGTTGCAAGCGGAGGATTATGAGGATGCGACCGACTGGAATACGGTCGGCTTCCGCTATCGCTTGTAGGTAGAGATAGAGCTGTCTCAGTATATGTAAATGGAGTAAAGAGCGATTGCCAGGCAACTGCGATTATGTGTCACCGGTATTCCCCTCGCAGGAAGTATGTTATCTGGCTGAAGCGGTGCTACCGAGCAGAAATTTCTTTCACTCTCAATTCCTGTGGTAGAAAACGTCCTCTCGCACCGCTTTCCATGAAAAGCCTGAACATTTACCTTGAACTCATGCTTCCTGCACCCCATAAGTTTCTCTGACTGCCGTCTGCCGCCTGCGCTGATCTTCCGTGGTGAGCTCGCTGAGTAGCTGCGCCGGGATCTGTCCCGAAGCATTCGGCTGCTCCACTGAGCCTTCGGCCTCCACGAGGACTCTAATCCATTGTTCCTGCGCTCGTAAGAGAGCACTACAAAGCTGTGCGGAATCCGATTTCCGGGTTCTATTATACTGTCGAAGCATAGTCCTTTTTATTACCTCCTGCAGAGGAGTGCCTTTTACATGGTTGGCAAAGTCGATATCCTCTCCCCAGCTAATCGGATGGTGAGCCACATCCGGTTGATTCAAATGTCTGACGAGGTAGTGCATAGCAGTACAGCCATTGCTATCCCGGTCGTTGATATCGATCGATAACTCTAGCGGTCCGTCGATCATTGGCAGACCGACCCGGTCCAGCCAACTGGCTGCACACAGCCGGTGGAGAGAAAGCCTAGCATCAGCTCCCTTATCTAGGAGAGGTACAATCATGTCCATGGATTTAGTGTCCTCATTGCAGGTTAAACTGCATAATAGAAGTGATCTAGGGCTTAGAATAAGACTGATGGAGTCACCGTGGCAGCTTCTACGGAGCGAGCCGTAGCGCCGGCGCAGTCATCGTCAGTAATTAGTAGATATATACAATGGCAACTTCATACACGTTCTTCACGGAACCTCTTTTCTACCGGTTCATTCAAAAGCTATGACCATTCCATATCCAACAAATGAAGAATTGAGGAAAATATCAGAGTCACAATGTCCACCGTTCCATGTCGTTAACTGGTATTTAGAATGGTGAATGACAGTGCGGGTGCTCACGGAACAGATTTAGTCATGATTGTGAACAAGTAGAAGATCAAAGGCGTTATCTCCATCGTAGAGAAGGAAACCATATACTCTACGAAAAGAAGCACCAGATTCCCATTCAAAGTTTCCCACAAGTTTCAGAAGAAAGATTTTTAGCGAGGACTTGGTAAGTATATAGCATATATATGTATATTCTGATGAAAGCTCAGGCCAAGTGTTCATCTTTAAGACGCAGACGTCTATCACAATAACCCTTGAGAGACATGATTATTACCCTATTTAGTATACATTTCATCCCTTAGGCAACGATGGGAGAGAAAACAGGATTTTTCCAGCTAAGCTGATTGTTCAGCTTGATGACCCTTACTCTGAACCTGAGTCTACGGAGAAGGCCAAGGATACACAACCTGCAAGGCGAGTAATGGCTCCAGGCAGCAAGATATCCTGACCACTTAGACGAAGCAATTCAGTTCCTTTCATTTGTGCCAAGAGTTATTGTGAAGCAATGCCCCTATGAGGGAGCCCGTGGACCGCTGATAAGCAAATTCGATTGTATTCTACCAAGCAGTCATAACTCGTCCTATCTGACATCAAATAGCTATAAATCATTGTTCTCCTAAGGTCAGACCCCTTTTATTTTCTCAATCCTTCTTTCGTTGCATCATCAGTCATTTATTTCTGTTGAGGTGTGCTGGTGTGCTTCGTTGTCTTTCATTTCTTCATCCGTTATAGAGCCACCGATAAGTTCTCATCAAAAACAAGAACGAACCACCCACAATTGATTAGAAAAAGGTTCTCACACTTGCATGCGTACAGGCTTGTGCCATACACAGCATGGTAGCCAACTCTTCAACGATCGGTGGAAGAGCACCTCAATATCCTCCCGGTTGAGGATGTGCGGTGCATCTTGCAAGGCGCGGCGAATGTTCTCCCGCCCGTACTCAGCCATGTTCTCATAGACCTCCCAGCGGGTCATGTTGCCAAACACCTTCTCCCTGAGCATGGGAGTTAGGGGGTGGAGAGGGTCATCCAATCGCTCAGAGAGCGAGTTCACCCATTGCTCGTAAGGCACCCCTTCCATCTTGTAGGGAGAAAGCTGATTGAGCAGGTCAAAACTGGTGTTGATGTCAATAGCGTTGTTAAGGTCAGGCTGCACGAGGTTGTAGGCGTGGCCCAAGTTCTTGTGGGTCGTTGAGATATGAAGAATGGAATCCACGACGAAGTCTACGGGGATGAATTCCTTGCGCTGGTTGGGCAGGATGGGATACAGCCCCATGTCCATACAGCTGGTGAAGAGACGGGAGATGAAATCGTCCGGGTTACAGATGCCGGACTTGCTATGGCCCAGGACAAACCCTGGACGGTAAATGGCCACGGGGAAGCCGTTATCAATGGCATTCCAAACGATCGCCTCCGCCACGTACTGACTTTGAGCATAACCAGTGTCGCTTGGCAGAGCAGCCAAGTGCGGCGCGGGCCGTTCATCCTCTGGCAGCAGCTTGGCGCCAGTGACATATCCAGTTGGACCGTAGGCCGCGATGGTGGACGAGTAGTGCATGGCCTTGGTCCGCCGATGAGTAGCAAACTCGAGCATGTTCAAGGTCCCGATAGTATTCTCCTGGCGATGAGAGGAATAAGGAGCGACGTAGCTCACCTTGGCCCCGAGGTGGAAGATCACACTAGACCATGTGGCGAAGTAATCGTACTGCTCCGGAGACAGACCCAGCCGTGGCTGTCCGAAATTACCTGGCAGGGCGATGACCTTGTCCATGTTTGCGTAGAGGCTGTACTTCTCCATAGTCTTCTCGAGACGCGCCCGGGCTGAGGGTTCGTCCTCGGCGCGCACCAAACAAGCCACCTTTCTAACATCAGGCCGCTTCACGAGCGTGGCCAGGAGAAACACGCCCACAAAGCCCGTAGCTCCCGTCAGGAAGATTCTGCCTTCGCTCTTATCCTGCCAGTGCGGAATAACGCCTCCGATGGGACGCAAGTGTTCGCCCAACTTAGAGTCCTGTAGCCAGACCTCCTGTTCGGCCTGGATACTCGAGTCGTCGCCATGAACTTGGATATTGGTGACAAGCCGCGTCAGGCTCTCGAAGCTGGTATTCTCGTAGAGCATTTGGGCGCGCAACGAGATGCCAAAAGTTTGATTGATGCGAGCGATCATTGTGGCAGCGATTAGGGACGTTCCACCCATGGTCACGAAGTCGTCGGTTGGGCGTAGATGCTCAACCGTGAGACCAAACACGTCAATCCAGATATACTCCAGCTTAGCAGCGTTGCTGCCAGTGTTGACATTCCCATTAGCTCCATTAGCCCGTGAGCGCTTGAGCTTCTGATAATACCGTGCTTCCAGAGCCTTCCGGTCAGCTTTGCCGGTGGAGCGAAGGGGCAGGATGTCAATGAGCTCCAAACGGGGAACCATGAGATCCGGTGCCTGCTCCATGTATGCTTTCATGATGGCACCATCCGCGACATCAGGCGAGGAAGGAATACAGTAGGCCAGCAGAAACTGGCCACGGCCGACTTCTTCCGGTGTGATCTTTACCACCACAGCAGCACTCACCAGGCCCGTGCCAACGAGGGCCGATTCCAAGGCCTCCAGTTCCACGCGCTGACCACGAATCTTGATCTGGTTGTCCTTTCGTCCGAGGTAGTAGTACACGCCTTTCTCGTCTGCACGCATCAAGTCTCCAGTTCGATACATGTGGTGGGGTCCCCGCTCCACTTTTCGGTGTAGTTGTGGAAGAAGAACGAAGCTCTTGGCAGTTTTCTGGGCGTCCCCAATATATCCCCCGGCAACACCCACGCCAGATACCACAAGCTCGCCAACTTCACCCGGCTTGACTGGGTTCATATTGTCATCAAGGAGAAATACCTCGACGTCGCCGAAGGGCTTTCCCACGGGGATCTCACCCCGGCGGGCCTCCTCTTCCGAGACTTGGTGATACAAAACATATATACTCGCTTCTGTCGGACCATATCCGTTGATTATTCGGCCTGGAGCTCCAGCATCGAATATGGATTGGATTGTCTGGCAGTTAATCGCCTCACCTCCAGTTATGAGAGTGTCCAGGGTGGAGAAAGCATCCGGACAGGCATAAGCCGTCACGGTGAGCAGGGAGGTTGTGAGTTGCAGCACATTGAGTTCCTTCTCCTTAACGAAGGCGCTAAGAGCAGACGGATCGAGAACAATCTCATGGGGGATGATGACCATGGTTGCTCCGCGCAGCAAGGGACCCCAAATCTCCACCAGGGAGGTGTCAAAGATGACGTTCGAACCGTGTCCAACACGCTGTCCCTTCCGAATGAGGTCCGCTGAATCGAGGCAAAGATTGATCAACCCCTCTGCAAACGCCTCGACTGCCTTCGGCTTGCCGGTTGTGCCCGAGGTGTGGAGCACATGAGAGCATGTCTGCGGCCCGTTCTGACTTGGGGCAATGTTTAGATCGAAGGTCTCGGGAACCACGCGATGGTCAACCACCAGATGCTTGACGCCCGGTAGTCTATGCTGTTGTACGATATCCGTGATGACAAGGGTCGATCCCAGGTTTTCCAGCATGTCTCTGAGCATCTCGTCTGGGAGCTTGGGGTCCAACGGCACACAAGCCCGGCCCGAGTAGATCACGGCGGCCTGGGATAATACGTGGTTCAAACTGCGAGGGGCAATGATGCCGACTGGCGAAGGGTCATCGTGAAGGATTTTGTTGACCTGGTCGGCGACGAAGAGAGCTTTTTCGTGTAGATCGCCGTATGTGACTTCGTACTGGCCTTCTTCAATGGCAATGGCCGTGCCGCGGACTATAGCTTGCCGCTCCAGGAGCTCAGCCAGGCCCAGCCCGGTGTCGCATCCATTCTCCAGAGCCTCTGAGATAAGTAACGACGGTGACATGGTGGTAGACTAGCAGGTAAGCAGGAGCCTAATGCTATTGTGAAGATTGAATGGGACCTGTGGTTGAGCAGTCCCTACCAGCTCGGGGGCGTCTCCTCATATACTCTTTCCTCCACGGACACTGTTGTGTCTCGGGCTCGCCTTCGCAATGCTTCATGACTAACTCCGCGCCAGCCCATGTTGAAGTGGTCGTTCAGAGGCGTACCATTGGCCTCTCCCTCTACGACACTCACGACTACTCGATCTGTTCAAGCCGGCCCAGACAGGCGAATCCCTTGCCTGTGCCAGGGGCCAATCCCGCTCGTCTATGTGTTCAATCAACAATGGAATATCATGGCATGGACACGCCAAATGTGATTCCAAGAGACATAAGCCCTCACCGTCGCCATCCAAGTCGGCGTATATCGAAACCAGCGCAGTTCTTCGAGCCACTGGTCCTCCTTGCGCGTGTGAGGAGGTTGGAATGCCGCAAAACCGGGCCCTAATACCGAGGTCCGGCTCCGCGGCGTTTCCATAGAATAGGTATATCCACTTGAGACCCTGCATGTTGACATGGGTCAGGTGTACGCGCGATGGCGTGATGACCATGTAAGATGGGCCGATTGCGCTAGGCTAAGGCTTATTGTAACTCAAACAGTGGATTCAAAGTTCACATAATCGCTCAAACTTGCCATGGCATTTTGGCGAGCAGCTTGCGGCGCCAGATAGTGCCGCAGCGGTGAATGGTGCATGCTGAAGTTAACGTACAAGGACAGTCCAGAAGAACCCGGCCAGATCTGGAAGCAACAGCTCAGCCCCCCAGCTTCCATGATGCCACCGGCTTCCTGCACCCACACTGCCATCTGGACAGGGCAGGCACGTCTCAAACAGGTTGAGATTGGCGCGGGGTTGAGGCGATACAAAAGCTTAGAGATCGCCGCGGCACGTTCCTCAGTCCTCTCTCCCACGGTGAGGCGGGGATGATCTGTCTCTCAATAAATCAGGGATCTGGTTTTAGGACTGTCCTCAGGCTTGTATCTGCGTTGGATTGGGATGGTCCAGAGCAGCTCTGGTGGAGGTCTAGTGGGTTCTTCATGCTGCTGTTGCTGTTCCCACCGCTTATGTCAGCCTCGTGCAGGACTCCGGCCATTTTCACTAATCAGAATCCGCGCTACTGCAGGATAAACTAGTACTGAGATTGGATGTTTACTCACGGAGTGCATCCTGCAACCAAATGTCCCGTTTTCAAGGCGCAACCGTGGCCTAGTTTCCTGGAGTGCGCAGTCTCCGGTCACCCGGCACCCCTCGCGCGGGCTTTATCCATTCCCACAATCCATCACAACGCAATGATACATGCTACGGGTCAAAGTTCCCGTCATTGGACCTGTGAGCAAAAACAGAAAGTTCCAGGTAAAGTACGACTCATTGTGTCTGGTTGTCGTTGATCGATGTGCCTATATAAGCCTTTCTTTTACCACCAAACCCAGTTTGAAAGTACTGTAGCGGCGGGCTGGTCCGTGAATCAATCGATGTAGCGTGCGATCAGCGTGGAGGATCCTCGTAGACAACTACGAATTAACCAGATTGACTTGCTTAGCAGCACATAAACTGGGCATACCTGGCCTGGCGGGGAAGAGAGATGGCACCATGGCCAGGGCCAGGCCGCTCGACCAAGGCTTTACAAGGGAATGGAACCTTCGCACGTATGTATGTAGCAGTGAGTTGCAGGACATCGTGCATGTCTTACGTAGCACAACCAACATTCTGGCAGGGCTCTGTGGAGTGCCTCTGTGCCCCCTCTTCACCATGAGCTGGAGTTCATATAGGCCGACAGGCAACGTAGTATGAGTGAATTAAGTCCTGCTCAATTTCCGGGATAATAAAGTTCGATCCTTTTGCCAGTATCCTGCAACGTCTCATCCTACTTGGGAAGCCCCGACTCCAGCAAGCAGCCGTCCAGCGCACCATCCTGAGACATCTGTTATATTTTGTATATTATACTACAGAGTATTCGTAGGTCGGTTAGGTATGGGAGGACGCCACATCTCACCGCTGCAATCATTTTAACGTCGACACCTGGGCCCTACCCTGGCTAGATCTCAAACCATGCCATCATGGCAGAAAGGTAGTAACCATTTTCGGAGAATGTCTGTTCTCTCCAGCATCGAACATTCTAGGCGAACGGGGATTGAGGCAGGGTTCTTTGGCTGAGAGGTAGTACAATGTCATAAGTCATTGCCATCCCTTCCGTCCATTTTTCTTTTCTGATGGGGATTCTGGAAGGGGCCAAGAATCCCGCAGAATCCCGTGATCTGATTGGCCCTTTGTGCAGGGGTCTTTCTTCCGTCCGTCTATGAATGGATACATCATTTCTTCTCTCTCTAAAAATAAACATACCACAGGGGTGGTCAGTATTACTTTCCGCAGTAATCTCTCTGCCTCCTCGGTTAGATAACTCTTCAAGGTTCAGGTAATGAGGGGGAAACTGCACCATGTAAGATCCGTGGCCTCTGCTGGAACCATCGCCAAGAAGGCAAAACCCCGACCGTGAGTATAATCAGCATCTATCTCATCGTCAACTCGGGCAAAAGCACCACGTTTCAAACCCACAAGGGGCTCATTAACAGAGTGGATAGTTGTCAGATTCAACTGATCCACTGCTCCCACTACACCGGATCTCAACCCCTAATAAAGCAGCTGCGCCGCATCCCCATCCATTATTTGACCTCGTCTTCACTGCTCTTCGCGATCGAGCCAATCGGAGTCTCTCGGATGGGGCGGTTTCCAATGGAAGAGAATGAAATGCCCCCTATCCCCATGTCCAGATACAACTACGTAGCAAGTAATCCCAAATCGTTCTTTCACATGGTCATGGGCGAGCCTCAAACAGCCTTCTCACCTTCATAGCCCAGTCTTGTGTAGATTGACACTGCCGATCGTATTCAGCTGCTCAACTCCTCGTCAGCTGGTCGCTTTGACCTCCGCTTTGTGATCACTTCAGCCGCAATCAAATGGCACTCTGCTAGTAGTAACACATCACATAAAAGATCTGGTGTTCTCCCTGCTTGACTCGCACAGTTCACTCTCATAACTTATATCATCACATACTACGCACAGACTTTATACTAGCAATCATGCCAGCTTCCAACAAGGTCCGTGTCGCCGTCACCCAACACGAACCCGTCTGGCTGGATCTGCACGCCACCGTCGATAAAACCTGCCGATTGATCGCCGAGGCGGCAGGCAATGGCGCCCAGCTAATCGCTTTCCCCGAATGTTGGCTACCGGGGTATCCAGCATGGATCTGGTTCGCATGATCCTTAATCCTATGATTACTTTGCGACCGTATATGTACTAACCATTGGGCAGGTGTCGCCCCGTCGACATGGGCCTGTTCACCACTTACCTCAAAAACTCCCTCTCGTATGACTCGGAGCACATGCGCCGCATCTGCAATGCCGCTGCCCAGCACAAGATCACCGTCGTCCTGGGTTTGTCGGAGCGCGATGGCAACTCCCTCTATATCGGCCAGTGCACAATCGATTCCACAGGCAAGATCGTGATGCGTCGGCGCAAGATGAAGCCCACTCATATGGAACGCACCGTGTTCGGCGAATCTTCCGGGCGGAGTCTTCTAAACGTCGTCGATCTGCCGATTGGTAAAGTGGGTGCCCTCTCGTGCTGGGAACACATTCAACCACTGCTCAAATATCACACCATGATCCAAGGGGAGGAAATCCATGTCTCCGCCTGGCCAGTTCTACATCCCCATATGGGGGGCGAGTCACTCTGGGGCATGTCGCAGGAAGGTGAGATGCCATTTATAATCACCAAGATCTACCGCGCAAAGCTGACATAGGCTCCAGGTGGAATGGGTGCATCTCAAGTATATGCGCTGGAGTCGGCATCATTCGTTCTGCTCACGACCGCCGTGCTGGGTCCCAGCTGCGTCGAGAAGATGAACTTGTCTCCGCCGTGGGATACCCTGGGAGGAGGCGCGTCCGCCGTCATCGCCCCTGATGGCCGCCGGCTGACAGAGCCATTGCCCTCTAATGAAGAAGGATTCGTGTATGCAGATGTGGATCTGGATTTAATCTTGTCGTGCCGGCACTTTGTGGATGCCTGTGGCCATTATAGCCGTCCCGACCTGTTGTGGCTGGGGGTCGACACGCGCGAGAAAACACAACACCGACCGGAAGGACAGGCAGACATCGCCACAAGCAATCCGGATACTTATTCAGGCCCTGTTGAAGAGGAAAGTACCTGAGGCTATCCCTGCTTTAACTGGCCTGCATCGGAGCCCCGCAGAAGATATACAATACCAGTGGTGGACTCAGCAAACACGTTCCTTATTTCAGCCACTCTGACCATGTCTTGAAAATAAATTAATACGAATGAAAAAAAGTACTGAATCTAAGACCATGTCCCATGTGGCGTACTTTTCTTCGAGCACCTCTGGATTTAGATGTCACTCAGACTAAGCAATGTTTGCTTCTCCGGTCGGCACCAAGTGCAGCCCGGAAGACAACCGGATAAATCTGGGATGAGCTAACATGATGCTGCAGCTCAACTGCTAATGGTCCTGCCGATCAGGGCGCTTCTTCACCCGCTCGAGCACCTCTGATTTGTGGAATCCCACCACTCCCTGTAGTTCCGTGGCTGCACTCCTCTGTATTCCTATGCAATCGTGTTTTTGCTTCAATGTAACTCATTCACACTCTCGGATAAATGCACGGTTATTCTATATATTCTTCGTCTCCTACTTGTAGATGATAGTCCACCCACATGCACCGATGCGCCTCCAACGATGCGTCCCTTCTACTCCGCCTTAGTAACAGTCATTCCCCTGGTTCTGGGCAACTTTGATGCCTCCCATGTCTCTTGGTACACCACCCCGGCCAACAACTTCACCTCCACCCTCCCCATCGGCAATGGCAGACTGGGCGCCGCCATCTGGGGTACTGCGACCGAGAATGTCACCCTCAATGAAAATTCCATCTGGAGTGGTCCGTTCATCAACCGCGTCAATCCCCGCTCATATGATGCCCTCTGGCCAGTTCGGTCGCTTCTGGCACAGGGGAACCTGACCGAGGGGAATGATGCTACCCTTGCAAATATGGTCGGCATTCCGGATTCGCCGCAGTCGTACAGTGCCCTGGGATCGCTGGTCCTGGATTTTGGCCATGACCAGGTCGGGATAAGTAATTACACCAGATACCTAGATTTAAGGACTGGGGCGGCAGTGGTGGAGTATACTTATCGTGATGTGCAATATCGGTATGTTTCTATGGTGTGATAAAGCGGGTATTGGCTGACGAAGATAGACGAGAGTATGTGGCCAGCTATCCGGATGGTGTCCTTGCTGTGCGGTTGTCGTCAAGCCAGCCAGAGAGTTTGAACGTGGCTTCTTCGCTGGCTCGAGATCGATATGTCAGTTCCAATAATGCAGCCGTCTCCGACGATGGCGGGGTGTTGACGCTGGGGGCTTACTCGAACAACGTTTCCGATCCCATTCAATTCACGGCCGAGGCCAGATTTGTCTCTGACGGTCAGTAGTAAGTGGGTATAATATCTAAATGAGATGCTGACTCGGATAGGGCGGGCTACGAGCAATGGCACATATCTTATTATTCAGAATGCGTCCACGATAGACATTATCATCGATACCGAAACTTCCTATCGCTACACAACTCCAGGAAAGTGGGAAGCAGAAATAAAAGCAAAGCTCGACACTGCCTTGAGCTCGGGTTTTTCTACCGTTAAGCAAAATGCGATCGCCGATTATTCAACTCTGGCGCAGCGAGTGGACCTAAACCTGGGCTCCTCTGGCTCAGCGGGCAACCTGCCCACCGACACTCGATTGGTAAATTATCGCACTAATCCTAACAGCGACCCTGAGCTAGCTGCCCTCATGTTCCACTTTGGCCGGCACTCGTTGATCGCCTCGTCACGCGCCACCGAGTCACCGGCCCTACCGGCCAATCTGCAGGGTCTATGGAACCAGGACTTCGATCCCGCCTGGGGTGGACGATTCACTATCGACATCAACCTCGAAATGAATTACTGGCCAGCAGAGGTCACTAACCTGGCTGACACCTTCTCCCCGTTTATTGATCTGCTGGACATCGTGCATGACCGAGGCCTGGATGTAGCTGAAAGCATGTACCACTGCAGCAACGGCGGGTATGTCCTTCACCACAACACCGACCTCTGGGGCGATGCTGCTCCTGTCGATAATGGGACAACCTGGACGATGTGGCCTATGGGCGGGGCATGGCTGTCGGCTAATCTAATTGAACATTATCGATTCACACGGGATGAGGCTGTTCTCCGGGACCGCATCTGGCCTCTTTTACAGAGTGCTGCGAGATTCTACTATTGCTATCTCTTCCCCTTTGAGGGCTACCTTAGTACCGGACCATCACTGTCCCCGGAGGCCTCATATATTGTCCCGGATGGTATGACCACAGCAGGCAACGAAGAGGGCATAGACATTGCCCCGACGATGGACAATTCCTTGCTCCACGAACTGTTCCAGGCTGTCATTGAAACTTGCGACGTGCTGGGCATCAACAACACAGACTGCACCACCGCTGCAAAGTATCTCGCAAAGATCAAACCACCACAAATCGGATCCTCCGGTCGCATCCTAGAATGGCGACTGGACTACGAAGAATCCGACCCCGGCCATCGACACATGAGTCCGATCTTCGGTCTGTTCCCTGGCGATCAAATGGCCCCACTCGTCAACGAAACGCTCGCCACAGCCGCCAAAGCGTTCCTGGATTGGCGCATTGCACACGGCAGCGGAAGCACCGGCTGGTCGCGCACCTGGACGATGAACCTGTATGCCCGGCTGTTTGACGGCGACCAGGTCTGGAACCATACGCAGATCTATCTGCAAAGGTTTCCGAGTCCGAACTTATGGAACACGGATTCCGGCCCGGATACGGTGTTCCAGATTGATGGGAACTTCGGGTTTACCTCCGGAATTGCGGAAATGTTATTGCAGAGCTACAAGGTCGTACATTTGCTGCCGGCGCTTCCGGCCGCTGTGCCGACAGGACATGTATCGGGCTTGGTGGCTAGGGGGAACTTTGTCGTTGATATGGCATGGTCGGAGGGTGTCCTGACAGGGGCTAATATCACTTCGCGGAGTGGCAAAATATTAGATATTCGTGTCCAGGATGGGTTGGATTTCACAGTCAACGGGGAAAGATATACGGGAGGTATACAGACAGATGCTGGAAAGGTGTATACTGTTGTGCCTGTCTAGTATATACACATCTGTTATATGTACAGAATACATCTCTCTGCAGTTGTATATAATCTACTGCCGTACTCCCAACCCAAACATCCTGACACTATTCTCCCACGCTGCATCCGCCACCTCTTGCACCGAAATCCCTTTCACCCCCGCAACCACCATCGCCACCCTCTCCATAAAACAGCTCTCATTTCTATTCTTCACCATCTGGCCCAAAATAAACTTATTATGTTTCCGAACCGGTGGCATTTCCCTCGCCTTCTCTAGAAACCGGGCGATCTTCTCATCCCCACTCAATACCTCACACCACGGCGCATCCGTCTCCAATTGCAACTTCTCCAGAGGAATCGCCTTCACCATCTCCAATTGCTCCTCCGTCCGGAAACATACCCCATTCACACTGACATCTAGTCCCAGCTCATCGGTCAATTGCCGCATCTCGCTCACAGAGCCAGTGAAGGAATGAACCAGTCCGCCCTTGGGTAGCCGGGGTAGATACGGACGAATAATCTCGATGAAATCGGCACAGGATTCCCGAACATGCAGGAACAGCGGAAGCTGGAATTCCACTGCTAGATCGAGTTGATCCTTGAATGCTCGAGCCTGCGTCTCCTTGTCGGCGCGGTCGAGATACTCGTAGTCCAGACCGATTTCGCCGAATGCTACGAGCGGGGAATTCTCCTCGCGGAGGAGGGATTGGCCTAGTTCGCGGATCTGGGAGAGATAGGATGATTCCTTGGTGGAGGCGTAGATCTCTCCTGCATGGTACGGGTGCACGCCTAGTGTGAGAGTGCATGTTTCTGGATGTTGACGGACGAGTTCCAGGTTGCGGTGGAAACCTTCTAGGTTCATGGTGGTCAACATCATTTTTTCGCAGTTGTAGGCTTTGGCCCTCTGGATGACCTCCCCGAAGTCGCAGGGGTGGTATTGTTTGCCGCGGTAGATGCCTTGGAACTGGTCGGCCGTGTAGGTTACCGCTACCTATCTACTTGTTAGTGGGGATGAAGGGCATTATTGTGTTCTGATTGGGCTTACATCGGCGAAGCGGAGGGGCTTTGTGTCTGTGGCCATCGTTGCAAAGATGGCTGTCTGGCCTTGCTTGATTGGGGGCCTTGAAGCGTATATATTATGGAGGAAAATAGCGTTATTCTATGATTCTAATAGCCGATCTAGGATATCTGGGTGTTAGAAGGGTAAGTGTGGAGAGTGGTGCTGCCTGCAGCTTGTCTGGGGTAAGGCGTGAAAATTTTCTTGTGAGGTGCTTGGCACATCCGACGATCTCCAACATGATGCTTCTCGCAACCACCCCTTCCTGTGCAAATAGACGCTTTTCATATGCAATATTGAGTCTTTGGGTATGCTTTTCGCTAAGTTCAGTTGTCCTTGGCGTGTATTAAGAGGCAATGGTCAAGCTGTTAATCAAATATATATTTATTTCTGCGGGAACACTGCTGTTCATGCCGCCGGGGGGGTGGGTGGCAACACGATAGATCCATAACATCAATGTAACTGCTAATAAGAAATTGTAAATCCATTCTATCTAGCAGACGGAAGTAAGGTATGTACAACTATCTAACACGTCTTGTGCACACTCAACACCTATAATACATTTCCAAGACCCTTTCCTTCAAAGCTTTATGAGGTGGCCAATTGAGTATGTGGTTGAAACGCCGAGCTCGTAGGTCAGCACCAGATCAGCAATGATCATGTAATAAATCTAATGTGAAGCAAGTAGCTCTCCCGAGCTTTGCACCTCGTTATGCGAAAACAATATTCCCATGAATTTGACCATCTCGGCAGCTGCAACCGTCAGACTTTCTTCCTCAGCAAGTTGGGATAAACTCACCTGTAATGCGCTTGACGGTCGTGTCATTCTCATCGACTCCATTAATGCGTGTATACTCCAGGACCAGGTCGACACGCGATCGTCTTGCTTTCTCGTATAGGGCCAACCGAGCTGGGATCTCGTGAACTGGGGTTCCAGCCGGGAGCAGCACCGCTAGGGATACCGCGTCTTCGATGGCCATGGCACCTCCTTGACCCATGTCTGTTATCGTTAGCTTATGCGATGACCCTCTTAAGATGATGAACCTACAAGGCTGGAATGGGTGTGCTGCGTCGCCCAGTAGAGCAGAGAATCCTCTCACCCACGATGGGAGAGACTTCATATCGAACAACTCCCAGACCTTGAGATTCTCGTCCGCTGCGTGGACGAGCTCCCTGACTTCGGGACTAAACCCGGAGAATCCAGTGACAAGAGCATTCTTGTTTCCGACCGCTTGCCAGCCTGCGGTAACCGTTAGCGACAACACTCAAATTCAACAATCGGCAAAGGGCATACCTTCAGCGGCATCACCAGCTTCGGCAGTGGGAAGGAAAGCACAAAGATTGAACATCGTATTGTCCGAGCAAGGGTAAGCCACAAGTCGGCGATCATCACCAGCCCATTCGATAAACACTCCGGGATCGCGCACAATCTCCTGGGTGGCAGGGAGATGGCGCAACTTGTCTGTCGGGAGAAGCCACCGGAAACACGATTTACCAGCCGGGAATGGAGGAGGCGGCGTCTGTCCGATCACCTCACGGACGACGGACTATATGTGGTAAGTCGACACTCAATGAATAATGAATGCATTTACATACGCGCAGACCGTCAGCCCCAAGAAGAAGATCCGCTTCATGTCTCTCGCCGTTGTCGAGAGTCACGGAAGGGCGCGGGCTGTCAACATCGATGTTAACGATCTTGCAGCCCATGTGGAGAGTGGCTGTCTGGATGGCGCGCTGCTTGAGGTAGTTGTGCAGGTCGACTCGGTGGACCAGATACCATTCCTGGTTTATTAGTGAGAATTGTCCCAAGACTTGTATGGAGGACATACTGCTTGCCATTTCTGCCGGATTTCGGCAAAGTCTTTCAGGTACTTCAAGTTTCCGAAATGGTCATATCGGTGAATCTATACCGTCAGTAGGTATGCAGACATCAAGCACCGCCAGGTATACCTGTTCCAACAAGGTGCCACCAAAGTCTTTGGGGTCAATGCCCAGCCAGTTCAGCAAAGCAGTGCAATTGGGAGGCACATGGATGGCGGCGCCCGTCTCCCGGGCGAATGAGGATTTTTCGATGATCTGCAGTCCTCAGTATATCTTTCAGGAGTCGATGCATGTATAGACGTAGTTGACGTACCACAACTTGATGGCCCTGCTGGCCCAAAGCAATGGCGGCCGTCAACCCCGCAATGCCGGCACCGACGATGAGGACCTGCAGCGGTCGGGATTCCTGAGAGATGGTCATTGGATAGATACAATCTTTTAGTGTGGTGCTAAATTTCTGGTGAAAATGGTAGTTCCATCCCTGCTTCCTGAACAGCTTTTAATGCAGGGTGAAGACATCCCCAGCAGGTCGGAGATGAGGACTCGGGGAGTTGCTCGGAGATACGGTATCCGGCGGAATCTGCTATTCTGTCCTGTCCTATAAAGCTCGAGAGGCCAAATAGAACCCTATGCTCTACACCGTCAAATCGCTCGTTCCATGGTTGCTCCACCGGGCCGCCGATCTTTCCTCGATGCCGCAGTGAATCCATGGATCCGTCGCCGTCCTAAGTATTTTCCCCGCCACGCGGCTCATTCTTTTTCCTGCCACAGGGACCCTTTGGGGTGGACTGATCCAGCGCAGCGCTTCGATTGGTATTCAGATAAGAGCCAACGCCGAAATATTCTCTAACTATGCAGTGCATGTGCATGGGACCAGGGTGAAAGTTCCGTTGCGGGAACAGGGTCCGACCCTCGTTCATGCTCCTCAACATTTCACTATCGGTTCCTATTCTACAGGACAGGAAAGTATTGTCTTATCTCTAGAGCATGGCCCAGAGAGTGTAATAATCAGGCCAGACAGTGCGATTGTCTATCATTCCAGGAAATTCAGAACGGTGAAGCAGTGCTTTAGATTTCACTTTGTAGCATTTCGAATCCGCCAGCCCCCATAAAACTTGAGCATAAAAAACATATCATGAATTAAGGCTTGGTATCCTCAACATGAGTCGAACCACCCCTCTCGGCATCTGCCTCCTGTGCCTTGAAATCGGTTTTATCGATCACTTCCATCTCGGCATGTGTTGCAGGGACGGTAGCATTTGGATCCTCCCGGTCCCAGCTCTTGTTCAAGCTGTTCAGCGGCATGAGCGTCAGAGTCAAAACCAAGCAGAAGATAACCTAATGGCACTACTATTAGCAAATCTCAGTTCAAGACACACGTAGTAACCGTGTATACTTACAATTCCCACCAGGATCATTTGCGTCTTCGCATAATCCGGTGACCCGTCAGCAGTAGGGAACCGCTCTCCCAGCGACGTTTCGATCGTGGGTGCGATCGACGATACTGCATTGCCGATGTTGTACGCCACACCAGTAAAGGCAGCTCTGATGCCAGGATGAGGACACAACTGCTGCAACAAGTTTCCCAAGTTACCGATCGCAGCACCGTAGAAAAATTGCAAGAAGAAGGCCCCGAGAGCGAGAAGTCCCCATCTCGTGGGCAGCGTCCATAGTGGTAACCACGGAGCAATAAGCAGTCCTGCGATCGCTGCCACCCATTTGGCGCTCACTTTGTGCGAAAGGAACCCGCCGACCACGCCGCCCAGGATACCTCCAATCTGGAGAATGCAGGTCACCCATGTCTCTTCTAGGATGTTCAGCTTGCGTTGGCTGACGAGGAAGGTCGGGTAGAGATCCATAGTGCCGTGGCCCATGGTAGCCAGACAGGAGGTCAGGCAGCAGGCGTAGATGAAGGCCTTGTAGTGATAGCGTAGCACATAGGCGAGCTTCTTATGGAACGGAAGATTTCCTCCCACAGCTGCGCGGGAATCTTGGACCGGTCCGTTGGCGTGTTCTTCGTCTTGAGTGGCCGGAGAGGCAACGCTATAATAGGGGGTCACCGCGTGAAGGATGGCGATAGGGACTGTCAAGCCGGCGCAAAGCCAGAAAAGAGAGCGCCAACCGTAGCCATCTTTCAAAATGGTGAGTAGTGATCGAAGGAAAGGGAAACTGTCAGCTTACTCATAGCCAGATGCAAGCCTGATGCAAAGAGATAGCCGGACGAGAAGCCTTGCTGCGTGAAGCCAGCCACCACACCACGGGATTTTTCCGGCACTGCTTCCAGCACCGTCGCCATGGACAACCCATATGTACCACCGTAGGCAACCCCTGGGGAAGTTAGCACCGTCACTGTCAACCGTTTCAGTACTCATCTGCAACACCCACCAAAGAGAAACCGGAATCCGATCAGCTGGGGAAAAGTCTGCGAGAACCCCGTGGCGATAGTGAAGCCGCACATGAGTATAAGGTCAATGAGCATGGGAATCTTCCGCCCGTACTGATCAGACAGGATACCAAAGAATACTGCTCCCACAGCACGGGACAGCATAGTAGTGGTATTGGCTTCTGAGACATTGGTCTCAGCAACGTCAAGAGCTTCCGCCACGGTGCTGAGAGTAAATGGGAGGGCATAGTATTGTAGAGAGCCCAGGGTCCAGCACGCCCAACAAGCCAGCCAGATTAACGCCTGGACAGGCTTCATGTGCAGCGTGGACGCGATCTCCCTGGGGAGGGCGGCGAGGGTGGCAAGGATGTTCATGATGAAAGTGGACAGAGAGCTTGAGGGAGTGGTCGAGGACAAGATCGAAACCTCCCTCGAGCGAGGCAACGTTTATACCTCAATCTGGGACACCGTACTTGGCATCATCTTGGCATATGGGGAATCCTAGATGTGCGGGGGAAGACGCAATAGACAGGGTCTAGCAGCTGGTTGGGTTTTGGCCTTAGCGAGGTGGGTTTGACATGTATCTCCCCTCATCGTTCGCCAATCGCCAGCTGCAGACGCTCACCGAACCGGTTGCACAGTAAGATTGCGGCATAACTGTGCAGATACCATGACGGTGTTCGAGCAGATCTAGTGATGCAAGTCGGCTGTGAAAGCTTTGACCGATCGGAAACATCTGAGCCCCCATCGGTGTTCCTGCTCTTCGCCGATATCGAGCCCTAGATGCTTGATATCAACCAACCGATTCCCCTTCGTCCTTGATGACAGTCTCACTGTATCGCGCGATCATGACCACTAAATTGTCGCCACCACGACGTGGTCTGATCAAATGCCGATCCCCCAGTTCCCCAGTTTCCATCCACAAGGGTAATCCCAAGAAGCAGGCGTCCTGCGGGGGTTGGTTGTCCTTGAGATCCAACAGAATGGCACGACGGACAACGATAGTCCGCACGACGGCTGCGGCGCCGGTCCGGGACGGGCAGATGGAGCATCAAGCTCCAACCAATGAAGCATCCATGCGAAGTCAGCTGGTAGCAACATATATGTCGGTCGTGCATGCATATCTCGCTTGGGATAGACGTTGTCTC